ACGGGCGCGTTCGTCCCCGCAAGCTCGTCGCAAAACGCGTCGTACGGGCCGCCTCCTAATGGCTGGATGAACCTGTCGCGCGCGTACTCGCTGTTCCTGGCACGATCCGGACCCATCTGGCAGCCGACGGCCGCTGAATTGCGGCGAGGATTCTAGGGAGGGGGGAGGATAGGATGGAGGAGGGGGGTGAGGGGGGTGAGGGGGGAGTGGTGGGAGGAGAGGATGCTGCTGGTGGGTGATGGAACAGGGTGCGGTGGCAGTGCGCGATGGAGTCTAGTTTTGAGGCGCCTCAAAACTGAGGTGGCAGCGCGCGATGGGAGGAAGGGCAGGTAGTGAATGGAGTGGAGGATGGAGGAGCTACCAGCTTGGAAAATTTGGAGCTGGGACTGCCCTTGTGCCCTGTCCCCTGCTCCTGGAAGAGTGGGGAGAGGATGGAGGAGACCATGGGGCAGTGCAGATGTGGCCAGAGGGATGCAGCTGCGGAGGATGCATGTAGAGGAGGTGCTGGCGGCACAAGAGAAGTCTCTCCGTCCAGCAGCACATACGGTAGCAGTTATAGTGGCAGGCTTTAGGCAGGAAGTATCGTCTTAGTAGAATAACCACAGCAGATTTACAAAACTTGCAACACAAATCTGGAGTTAAAGGATGCACTTTACAGGTATCGGTCACCTGTCCCCTGTTGTAGGCACCTTCTCTCCCTGTTGTAGTGTGCTACACAAGCAGTTGATTTGCAATCCTGTGCTGAGTTGATTCATGATCTTGCTGATAGAAGCAAACTCAAGCACACATATATCATTATATGAGTAATGAATTGAGAATGATTAGGGGATACAAGGGGATATAACCTAAGGTGTTCTCTATGAGCATGCACCTATCTGACCTATTACATATACAATGATTTGTTGACAATCATACCTTCAATCATTGCCTCCCTTGTATCTGCATAGCAATCTTTTGTCTCTTACCATTGCATTGCACACTTTGGGTTGGGGTCATGATTTTTGGCAAACCAAGGGAGGGTGATGAAAGGGGGGAGAAGACCAAGGAGGGGAGCAACGGGAAAAACAAGAAAACAAGAGAACAAAAAAAAAACATTTTCAACTGAGCCACCACTAGCAGCTCCCTATCACGTCTACAGGGGCCTTGGAGGAGGCAGCTTTCTATCCCTTTCCTTTCCCACTCAGGGCAGCACTTAAAGGTTCCCTCTTAAGTGCCGTTTAAGCGCGGGAATGACGATCTCAGGGGTGGAGAGCTGCGGCAAGTGGCCGTGCGTGGGGAAGATTTCAACGACGCTCTTTCCCCCCAGGTGCAGGTGCATGTACTCTGATACCATTACAGGCACTGCCAGGTCCTTGCTGGACTGCAGAATGTGGCACGGCACACGCACCTGAGGGGGGAGGGGGGGGGGGAGAGAGAAAGGGGCAAGGTGCATGATGAGAGACGAGGCATCGAAGGCGACGTGAAGACGGGGGCAATACTCCCTGGGGGTAAGGACGCTCCCCCCACCTAGACGCTAGACGCTACACTCCCCTGGCCCTTTTCCCACCCCAGAAGAACCACTCCATGCAAACTCGCACCCCTCACCCAACCTACTCACTCCTTCCACTCCTCACTCTTCACTCCCCGACCACCACACACGCACCCCTGGACCTCATCCCTTTCTCCTTCCATCCCATCAGGTGCCCAGCCCCACAGCCCCCGTTGCTAGACTCCACCCGCCCACCTGCGGCAGAATGGCTCGCATGTCGGACTGGAAAATCGTCTTGGCCACCGAGAGCGCGATGTCGGGGCGGATGCAGAAGAAGGTGCGGCTGAACTCCTGCACGGCGGGCGCGTCGATGTCGGACCCCACGCACAGCGGCGCGAAGCCCGACACCCACGCGCGGAAGTTGCTCTGCATGGCGAGGAACAGCTGGTTCAGGTCCTCCTGATCGAACCCGCCGAAGTAGTCGCCGTCGTTCAGGTACCTGCGGGGACGGGGGGAGGAGATGCGGGGGGGGGGGGAGAAGGGAAGGAAAGGGGAGAGGGGGGAAGGGGGGAGTGGTAGGTGCGGAAATGCGCGTGGGGAAACGGTGAGACTGTGCGCTCCTGCGCGGCGAGACGGAAGTTGCTCTGCATGGCGAGGAACAGCTGGTTCAGGTCCTCCTGATCGAACCCGCCGAAGTAGTCGCCGTCGTTTAAGTACCTGCGGGAGGGGGGTGGGAGGGGGGGGGGGGGGGGGGGGTGGGGAAGGAGGGAGAGTGGTAAGTGCGGAAATGGGTGTGGAGGAGGGTGGACGAGAAGCTACTCTCCTGCTCGAACCCGCCGAAATAGTCGCCGTCGTACGCGGTACCTGCGGGAGGGGGGTGGGGGTTGGTACGTGGTACGTGTGGAGGTAGACGGAAAATGAACGGAATTCAGACGAGATTAATCTCTAGGCGGTGTCGACACTCGTGCTGTTTGTAAAATTAGTCTCACCGCACGGCACCGTGGGGACTTTGCAGGGTGATGGGGTTGTCCGGATGGGGTCGGATTCCGATGGGTTCGATCTGAGAATTCTCAAAAACACCCTCACCGCACGGCACCGTGGCGACTCTCGGATGAAAAACCGCTGAAGTAGAAAACGGGAGCAATGCGAGAGGAGAGAGCCCGAGAAAGAGAGAGCGCGAGCGGGCGAGCCAAATGCGCCGTAACCAACCCGGGCGCCATACCCGCACGACGCGCCGAGGGAGCACGAGCCTTTTAGACGCAAGCCACTCACAATGCCCCTCGTTCTCACGACTCACCACCTCCCCTGCTCCGATTCGACCGTCCAGAAGCTCGCGTCCGTTCCTCAGACCACCCTCTCCCGCCTCCCCCCTTTGCCCCCCCCCCCCCGACGAGCCTCCCCTCCTACCTGGGCGACGCGCCGAGGAGCACGATCTTCTTGAACACATCGGGCCGTTCGATCGCCGCAATGCACCCGATCATCCCGGACACGCTGTGCCCCACATAGCAGCACTCCTGCACGTCCAACTCGTCCAGAATCGCGAGCAGATCGTCCGCATACGCGTGCAGCGTGGAGTAGCGCGCGAAGGAGAAGTTGTCCGGGTTGGTGGACCCCGCCCCCATGAGGTCGAAGAGCAGCAGGCGGTAGTCGTCCAGCAGGTGCGGCACCACGTGCTGCCACACGGATTGGTCCGTGCCGAACCCGTGCCCCAGCACGACCAGCTGAGCGCCGGAGCCTATCAGACGCACGTTGTGCTGATCGAGAATCGACATGGCTGCCGGCTGGGAATGGGAAAGTCGGCGGGTCTCGGTTTTTAGCTGAGTCAGCCGGGAAGTCGCGGACACAGCGACGCGACGACCGGGAGTCGGCGAGAAGAGAGTCGGCGGAAGGGAGAAGGGGAGAGGGGCTGACTGGCTGGCGAAAACGGGTGCTTTGGGGGTAACTTAGGGTCTAATATTTAGGGTGAACTAAAGTGAAAGTGAGCGAGCGCGACGGCTAACTATATCCACAAGGGTGCTACGAACCGAGGAGCAGCTAGTTCTACTACATAAGACGCATAAGCGCTGATAGACGCTGAGAGTTAGGCGGGGTTATCTCATCACCACTCGCTACTCAAAGCCTACGAAACCCTGAGGCATTGGCTTGAAGGCACAAGCTACGCGCGCTGGGGTGACAAACTCGACGGAATCCGATCCAGAAATACTACAGAAAAGGCACTACTGCTGCGATGGTCCCTCAGAGAAGGCACGATTTCGCGTGTGTGATGGAAGAGCTCTGAGACCCGATAGGATGGAGAAAGGCATGAGCGACGAGGCGGGGAGAGGGAGCGAATGGGATGGGATGGGGGAAAAGGCGGTGGTAGGTGGCGCTGGTGGTGATGTGAGAGAAGAATCATGGCGTCACCGCGCAGCATCAGCCTGCCAGTGCCAGCCATGCATGAGCTCTACTGTTCGCATGACGGGTCTAGGGTAACCACCACGGCAGGCGAACACAAGTTTGGGTTATGGGTGGCAGTGCACGGAAGGAACGGAAACTTACGCTGTAACAGTAACAGTGCCGCGGCGCTTCCGTGGCTTTCGCCAACCGGACCGCCCCAACCTGTTCCTGTGGTTCTCGGCTAGCTCTGTTCGTGCCTATAAATGCCTAGGCCCTCATTTGTATCTACACTCTTGGATCACGACTCCTTTATTACACTACCTGTCATTACTCTGATTAATTCATAACAACTGGTGTCAGAGCTCCGTTCCTGCCCGCTTAGTCTTCCGTAGAGTAATCCGTTTATATCGGGAGAGGACCCGACAGAATAGAGGGCTGAACTGCGGTTGGTAGGTGAGCTCGTTAAAGCTCCTCCAACTAAAAGCGTGTGCACCTTCAGATCTGTTAGGTAAAAATTTCAGCATGTCTACCACGCCTGAAACCTCTGCCTGTCGTAGTGTTAGGAACGTGACTCAGGAGGAGTTTGACGTGTTGCAAGCCAAGGTGGCTGTAGTGACGACACTGCAGGCCCAGCTTCAACAACTTGCCGATAAGTTTGAGTCGCTGGGAAGCGAAGTGCAGACGCTGCGCAACGAAAACTCGTCGCTTCGCCAGACGCGGGGTGAAACGCGTCATGGGCGGCCTGTTACCCGAGACGAAAACGCTGCAAGCGAGGCAAGGGCGTCGGCGATACATGAAGCAGTTGAAGAAGTCCACAGCGAGCCGCGGGCGACCATTAAAATCAAACCTCCGATGCCACCGCAGTTCAACCCAACCGACAAAACAAGTACAGTGAGCAGTTGGCTCTCCCACACGTTCCGCGGGGTCTCTCTCCCCACCCACGCATTCCGCATCGTCTCTCTCCCCTCCCACGCATCCCGTGTCGTCTCTCTCCCCTCCCACGCATTCCGCGTCGTCTCTCACCCCTCCCACGCGTTTTGCGTCGTCTCTCTCCCCTCCCACGCATTCCGCGTCGTCTTTCTCCCCTCCCACGCGTTCCGCGTCGTCTCTCTACCCTCCCACGCATTCCGCGTCGTCTCTCTCCCCTCCCACGCTTCCGCATCGTCTCTCTCCCCTCCCACGTGTTCCGCATCGTCTCTCTCCCCTCCCACGCATTCCGCATTGCCTCGATCCTCTCCCTGCATCCCGCCTATACCGCGCGCCCCTACCCAGCATTCCACGTGAGGCTGACTCCCCTCTTACGTGCCTCCGCTGCGCCTCGTAGCCCACTAGCGCCATTTGCCACGCCACTTGCCACGCCACAGGAAGTGTGGCATTGGAGAGGGGCGGTGAGATGAGAGATACTGGGGAGGGGGGCGGAAGAGCAGGGAGAGAATTGGGAAACAGCGGGGGAGAGGGTGGGGATAGATAGAAACAGGAGAGGGTGGCATTAGAGAGGGAAGGGAGTTGGGAGGTAGTGGGGAAAGGGATGGGAACCGAGAGGGAGAGAATGGGGAGACAGTGCGGGGAGGGTGGGTAGAGAAACAGGAGAGGGTGGCATTAGAGAGGGAAGAGAGTTGGGAGGTAGTGGAGAGAGGGATGGTAACCGAGAGGGAGAGAATGGGGAGGCAGCGCGGGGAGGGTGGGTAGAGAAACAGGAGAGGGTGGCATTAGAGAGGGAAGTGAGTTGGGAGGTAGTGGAGAGAGGGATGGTAACCGAGAGGGAGAGAATGGGGAGGCAGCGCGGGGAGGGTGGGTAGAGAAACAGGAGAGGGTGGCATTAGAGAGGGAAGTGAGTTGGGAGGTAGTGGAGAGAGGGATGGTAACCGAGAGGGAGAGAATGGGGACGCAGCGCGGGGAGGGTGGGTAGAGAAACAGGAGAGGGTGGCATTAGAGAGGGAAGAGAGTTGGGAGGTAGTGGAGAGAGGGATGGTAACCGAGAGGGAGAGAATGGGGAGGCAGCATGGGGAGGGTGGGTAGAGAAACAGGAGAGGGTGGCATTAGAGAGGGAAGAGAGTTGGGAGGTAGTGGAGAGAGGGATGGTAACCGAGAGGGAGAGAATGGGGAGGCAACGCGGGGAGGGTGGGTAGAGAAACAGGAGAGGGTGGCATTAGAGAGGGAAGAGAGTTGGGAGGTAGTGGAGAGAGGGATGGTAACCGAGAGGGAGAGAATGGGGAGGCAGCGCGGGGAGGGTGGGTAGAGAAACAGGAGAGGGTGGCATTAGAGAGGGAAGAGAGTTGGGAGGTAGTGGAGAGAGGGATGGTAACCGAGAGGGAGAGAATGGGGAGGCAGCGCGGGGAGGGTGGGTAGAGAAACAGGAGAGGGTGGCATTAGAGAGGGAAGGGAGTTGGGAGGTAGTGGTGAGAGGGTGGAGAGAGCAGGCAGAGAATTTGGAGACAGGGGGGGGAGGTGGGTGGGGAGAGAAACAGGAGAAGGTGACATTAGAGAGGGAGGAGAGCTGGGAGGCTGTGGGGGAAGAGAATTGGGAGACAAGGGGGGGGGGGAGTGCGGTGAGAGAAACAGGGGAGGGTGGCATTAGATATGGAACAGAATTGGGAGGTAGTGGTGAGAGGGTGGAGAGAGCAGGCAGAGAATTGGGAGACAGGGGAGGAGAGGAGTGGGACGAGAAACAGGAGAAGGTGACATTAGAGAGGGAAGAGAGCTGGGAGGTAGTGGGGAGAGGGTGGCACTAGTGAGTGAATATAGTTGGGTGGTAGTGGGGAGAGGGTGGGGAGCGAGAGGGAGAGAATGGGGAGACAGGGGGGGGGGGGGGGGGGGGGGGGGGGGGGGTGGAGAAACAGGAGAGTGTGGCATTAGATAGGGAAGAGAGTTGGGAGGTAGTGGTGAGAGGGTGGAGAGAGCAGGCAGAGAATTGGGGGACAGGGGGGGAGAGGAGTGGGACGAGAAACAGGAGAAGGTGACATTAGAGAGGGAAGAGAGCTGGGAGGTAGTGGGGAGAGGGTGGCACTAGTGAGTGAATATAGTTGGGTGGTAGTGGGGAGAGGGTGGGGAGCGAGAGGGAGAGAATGGGGAGACAGGGGGGGGGGGGGGGGGGGGGGGGTGGAGAAACAGGAGAGTGTGGCATTAGATAGGGAAGAGAGTTGGGAGGTAGTGGTGAGAGGGTGGAGAGAGCAGGCAGAGAATTGGGAGACAGGGGGGGGAGGGTGGGGAGAGAAACAGGAGAGTGTACGTTTTGTGAGGGAAACAGGTTGGGACGGTGGGGAGAGAGAGGGAGAGGATGTTGAGACCGCATGAGACGGTGTGTAGAGAAACAGGAAAGCATGGCCTTAGAGAAGGTAGAGTGTTGGGAACAAGGTGCAAAAAAACGGCATCCGTATTAAACGGTCCGTTTTAAACGGCCGTTTTTTACGGTGGGTTTTGGTAAAAAAACGACTTTCTTTGTTAGACCCTTTTCCATGAATTTTTTTTTTTATGTATAAAAAGCACACGTAAACAAGTGGCCTGATTGCTAAGGCGGCCTGCATCGTTCTACGAGGTAATTAGCGGCTTTGAAACAGGCATGTGATGTCCATGCCCCTAGTCCGTTGCCTTCTAGGTCTCATTCTGCTCCTACTCCATCATCCCCCCCCGTCCACCTCATCCTAAGCGTCATCCATCTAGTCCTCCCCCCCCTAAGCGTTATTAGCTCGGCCAAAAACAATGTACACCGTATTATACGGTGGTACGAAAAAAACTATCGTATAAAACGGCCGTTTTTTTTTCCACCAAACGCAAAATGCAACTTTCGACTGTTTTAATCGTATTATACGACCGTTTTATACGATCCCGTTTTAAATGATAAAAAAGGTTAAAAAACACAGTTTTTTTTTCACCTTGGTCGGGAAGTGAAAAACATGGTGGCACCAAAAGAGGTCCCTTGAGGAATGAGGGAAAGAGGCCCGAATCTGTCCAAGAGTCACTTGAGATACGACCCTACCTCCATCACCAAACCCCCCTCCGGATGCTTGTATTTCCCCGTGCATTACACGTACGACGCACCACCATCGTTCACTACGCATGCGCATTGAGCCGCCTTCCGACACTCCAATCACCACAAATTCACCCCTCCAGTCTCCCACATATCCACCTGTGGTTGCCCCCAATCCAGGTGACATACACGTGCTGTCTCCCCTCCATGACCCATATTATTTGTCCAATTATCATAGCCAGCAGCCCCCCAACAACCCCCGCAAAGTCACCCACATTCCCATGGTCCAGTCCAGTTGAGCACGTCCACCCCCCTTTCCCCCCTGGATCGCTCACCTTATGGCCCTCCCACCACGTCCATGTCGAGTGTGGGCCACTGCAGGAGAACGCGGAGCTGGGTGGGCCAGATGGAATTGGCGATGCAGGACTCCCCACCAATCCACGATTTAAGCCCATACTAAACATGATCAGGCAGCGCAACGTAACTATCGGAAAGCGGATGCAAATCCCAATGGCCATCATGCGCTGCGGATTGACAGAGCTGATGGGTGGAGAGTACATCGCGAGCCACAATGACGTTATAGCAGTTCTGGCATCTGAGGCATCAGACGCAGTGGCGACGCTGTTTACAGCGGCGGAAAAGGCAGGTAAGCGTAACATAGAGTTCGGCCCCGTCAGGATGCTGGTTAGAGCAACCCTGTCAAAGAGAAGGTAGGTGGTATAGGGCATGGATTACCTGACAAGTGCATCAGCCCCATAATCCTTGTTTGCTCCCGCTGCCCACCACAATATGAATGTAGGTCGGGACGGGTTGACCGCCCGCACAACGGCACAAATGCATCTGGATGCTCAAATGAGAGCCTTTCAAACCAAACGCAAAGGTGACGTGGGCTCGGTGGCGGAGG